ATATATATATATATATATATATATATATATATATATATATATATTATAATTAATATTGACTCCAAAACTTTCTGTTTTGAATCATTTCACCCTGATTAACGTTAAGCTTCCAACGTTCAGTTTCTAACCAGCGCTCGAGTTATTCGACTCTTTATGGTATTGTGAAAGCTGTCTATTATGCCTTCATTAGAGCATTCACAATAACGATAACAATAGGAATTCGGGAATAAACGGGCTTTATTCAGAGATGATTTACTACACCGGCTAACTCACACAAATGGGCGAAACAACAGAGAGAGAGAGTGCGCATCGCGCATGCGCCAACACTGCACCACCTTCCGCCCCTATCCTATGGGGCGCCTGGTCGGAAAACTGCTGCCGTCACACACGCCCCTCTTTTGAGGAGATGTGCCCCACATCGACATATACTATATAAATTTTCTCACTGGCTCCATCCCAGCTCATGGGAGAGCAGGTAGCTCCAAACCACATAATGGCCAAGCATGGGGAGCAGTCCATGTCGAGCATCTATAGCTCCCAGACATGGGGATAACAATTGCTGCCACAACCTAAAACACCAACAATACATGACCAGGCCAACCCTGGTTAGGTCGGACGAGTGATGGGAAAGCATGTGTACTCTGCACTATAAAATAATCTCCTGGATAGTTAACCGCCAGGTTTCCGGCACTTCATCTCGAATTTTCTATAAACAAATATCTTCCGAAACGTAATAAAACTAAACTGCAACTGTCACTGTCAGAATCTCACAGATCAGAATATCCATTTTATCCTGATTGTTCATGAATTCAACTTCACCATAGTCCTTACAAAATTGAACTTTATATATACAGGTAATGAAAGCAAGCGCTATTCCTAGAATCCTAATCAGTCATGTAAGTCTCTGTAGGTTATATTTCACCACATGTATACAATATCCTATACATGTACGTATCAACACAACTAATCCAACACATGTAAACAATGTCATATACATGTATTATCAACACACACGTCAAGTTTCACACATACATGTATTGTAAATCGTTTCACTGAGGTAATCCACAGGAAGTTCACAGAAGTAATAATATCCATAAGTTTATCATTTTAGTTCATGTGACTTGCACTACACGTTAATACTTCCACTTTAGCTTTGAACATAATCCTCCAAGTAGGCGGGATCATTGCCGTCGCGTCCTCTCCTTGTGACGTGTGGTTCTGGAGTGGCCTCGATCAACGTTTGGCTCATTCATCGCTCCTTCCCGAATCGGATCAGCCTCCGACTGAACGAGTTGTTCAGGATGATGCTCATCATGGGCTAGATCATCTAGGTGACCGTCAAGGCAGATGGTACGAACCCTGCCCCATCTTCATCATCTTGTTCGTCGCATTCTTCACGGGCAGAGTCAGCTGGTCTCTCGTCATGAAGTGGAACAGCAGGAACTCTGGGTTCTGGAGCCTGGACGCCAGGTTCTGTAGGCAAACCCATGTCAACACGTGGTCCTGCTCCTAACTCGGCATCTCTTTTCTCTGGTTGGGCAACAGCTCTCAACTCGTCGTCTAATTCATCTGGTTCTTCGGGTAGGACAACTGGTTTTGCAGGAAAACCCATGTCAGGTCCCCCTTCACGAATCCCATCTTCTACGACATTGCGTTGTCCACGACTTCTGCCTCCGGGACAAAAGGAGGGGCTGCGGTTGCGGCTGGTAACCCCATGCCGACACCAAGTCCTCCACCCATGATAGGGAAGAACATTATCGGCTGGGCAGGGACATACGGTCACTTCTCTACAGGGACGTCATCAATTTTATCCGGCTCTTGATGCGCCAAGGGCCTGGGTATCCTGGCTGCCACACATGGCTTCAAGCAGTTGTGATGGGCAACTAGCCTATGTCGCTTATGTATACTGTATTATGTATAAGAGGATGCTGTATGTGATAGCGGGCAGACCATTCGCTGTGCATCCTCTTGACGACGATATATGGTCTTACCCATGGTAGAGCCAATTTCCTGTGGCGATCTTTGGGTACTGGAGTGTGTAACCACACGCGGTCCCCAACTTGGTAGGATGGTGTTTCGCCCACATGTCGTACAATTTCTTTTGTCGCTATTGGCCGATACTTGCCATCTTCCGCGCTTCTTCAAAAGCATTCTGGAGTTCGGTGACGATGCTCTGAGTAACACCCGGCTGACTTCCAATAGTACTTGGTTGGGAATCCATAGACAATGTCTGCTGGCAAGCGGGGTTCTCGACCATGCGACATGAAAAATTGTGACATGCCAGTCATCTCATGTACACTGGAGTTGTGCGCCCACTGGACTGGGCCAAGGTGGAGATCCCAATCCTTGCCGTGTTTGACTATGATCTTTGCGATAGCATTTTTCAGTGTCTCGTTGAAGCTCTCAATCATGCCGTTTCCTTCGGGATGGTATGGGGTCGTTCTAGTCTGCTCGATCCCAAGCATAGTGCACAGTTCCTGCGATATGTCTGTCTCAAATTGCCGACCCTGATCGGAATGTATAGTTTCCGGCATCCCGTAATCACACATAATGGCGAAAGATAAGGTCTGCAACCGTTTTGGGTGTCTGGTCCTTCATGGCATAGAGATTCACGTACTTCGTAAAGTGGTCGCCAACCACCAAACAGTAACGGTTACCCCGTACACTGATTGGCAGTTCTGTGATGTCTGTCGCTACAAGCTGGAGTGGGTAAGATGAGGAAATACTTTGCAGCGGCGCCTTCATCCTCGGATTTGGCTTACTGCGGGCAACACATTGAGGAACTCTGCAACACGAAGTTTTTCGTCATCCGAGATTGGCTGAGGTGACACTAGAGTGAACTTCATTGATGACTTGTGATCGCAATCCTGTGGCAACAACCTGTTGATAAACAGTTTTTTCCTCTTATTGGATGGAGTCCACTCCCTGACCAGAATTCCGTTCTATATCGAGAAGTGATTGAACTGGCGCTAGAAAGTGATCAAGTCACGTCATTCATCTTCTACTGCTTCCCAGCACGGCTTGCCCGTGTTCCACCCAACGGTTGACTTGGGATATTGAAGGGTCTTGCTCTTGTTGCGCCTTGATGCAACTCGATGGTTGTCCCTGTCCATCTGATTGTGCGAGCGCTGTCGCACAAACTCCGTCTTTCCTCCTGCGCCTATGCCAACATCTCTTGTGACGGAAAAACCCTTTCAGTGAGGAATCATTGGTACAGATCTGGGAACCCCTAGAGTCTGACACCACTTGATTCACATCATGTCGATTGTAAGTGGAAATCTGGGAAACCCTAGTATTTACCACCTGCTCATTCGTTTTGGCATCATCCAATGGAGGCATGGCAAATAATGGATTGAGTAGATCCTGCAATTTCTATTGTTCGGTCAGATGTCTGCTGCTCATGCCATCTGTGTTCCCATTCTTTACGCTCGGGCGGTACTGGATTTCGATGTCGCCCCATGTGCTTAACTCGTCCATCCAGCGCGTCCTTTTCTGTGTGACATCAACGTCCCAGTGGAGTTTGGTTCATTGCAGCAGCGGCTTATGATCGGTGATAATGGTAAACTTTGATCCGTAGAGGTAGATGTGGGTTTGTCGGAGACCCCAGACTATAGCCCACAACTCCTTGTCGTACATACTCCAGTTTCTTTCTGTTGTACTCAGTGCTCTGCTATGGTAGACAATTGTCCGTCCATGTTCATCTTGCACCTGACGTAAACCACATCCGACTGCAAAATCCGATGCATCCGTGTGCAGGGTGAAAGGTTTGCCCCGTCTTGGAAACGCCCAGATTGGAGGCGACATCAGTCGACTCTTTAGAGTGTCGAAGCTTTCTTGACACGCATCATCACACACAAAACTAACATGCTTCTCCGTGAGCTGAATCATGGGCTTGGCAATCTTTGCAAATCCCTCCACGAAATGATGATAGTACGAAGCCAGGCCTACGAAAGTGTACCTGCTTCACCGTCTTCGGCACAGACCAGCCCTTTATCTTCTGGATGTTCATTGGATCCGGTTTGATTATATGTCAGCTCACGTGGTGTACGAGAAAGGTGATCTGGTCCCTGCTGAGATGACACTTGCTGGACCTCTTCTAGAACCTCCAGGTGCTCATC